TCAACTTTGTGGGATGCCATAGGATGGGAACATGGAAAAGAGGGTAAAATGGGTGGTTATCAAAGTCGGTTCATTAACTGGTCGTGAAAAGCTAAAGGTATTTATTGAATTGTGTTCGTAATATGAACGAATAGCTGACGGCACGTTTCCTTTGAAAATGGGTGCTTCTCTATCAGGTTCTGGTGTCACTGCAGTCACTTGTAAAAATTGACCATCTCCATGAAGAATTTCGTCAGTTGGTGTACTATTATATTTTAATAATTGAGCTTGAGGGTGTTTATTTTGCAATCTTTCACAAAATGCACCAATTTTTTCCCATTCATACCCTCGATAAATAAATTGTCGATTTTGTAGACTTGCAGGGAATCCTCGGCCATAAAACCCTACCCGGAAATATTCACTAAAATATCGTTCTTTCTTTATAATATTCTCATGCAATACGGCTTGTTGTTTAAGAATATTACTTAAACGTTGAAAGTCATATGTAGTATATTCAAATTGATGAGCCAATTCCTTACATAGCTCAACACCACATTCCCATGCTTTACCTTTAACAAAATAATCCAAAATTTGAATATATAACCGCTCCTTTCGATCAAATGGAGTTTGCTTCGGAAAGTTCAGATCAGGTAATGCTTCTATTTCACAAGTGGGATCCCAATCGTATAAATTTGAATGTAACTTGAGAGTCAAAGCAGCCTCTACAAAATTATGGTAATTAACTTGCATCTGAACAAGTTGGTGCACATATTTTATATAAATTTGATCTCGATCAATGGACTTTATAAATTTCATCAATTTGAGTGTACACATTATTCGATCATCCTGGAATTCTTCACCATCAGGTAATTCGCGGACACCAAGTAATAGCACCAAAAATTCATTAAGAGAATCTAAAAATTTCATGACAGTTTCTCGTAATGAAGTATCGACTGATGTCTCTTCAAATAATTCACGTAATTGCGCAATAAAATATTTATGAGATATCTCATCACCCTTATTCTCTGACATGAATAATCTATCCAGAATGTCAATTATATCTGATTCCATTTGTTTGAAATCTTCGTCTAGCGAATATTGTGTAACAATCATACTGAATAATACTTTGATTGCGGCAGAGCGCAATTCATCATGATGAGATAAGCATAATTCCAATACCGGACCAATTAAAGTATTAATGAACCGACTTTGATAACCACCCATTTTACCCTCTTTTCCATGTTCCCATCCTATGGCATCCCACAAAGTTGA